TATATATATATATATATATATATATAGTGAAAGCAATACTAAAGCGACATTAGAATGTCAGATTTAGAGGAGATCACATCCTCGTCTATGCAACTGAAGACCACAGAAGTGAAAATGAACGGATGGGAGGGTGAATACATCCTCAAGGCGTCTAGAGCAACCACAGGCAGAAGCCAGGACGTATCTCCTTCACCACCTCGCCCATGGATACACCATCCATCCGCTTCGTTCACCATAAATAAGCCCTACATCAGCACTAACCATCTGAACTTAAAATGTACATCATTAGAGCCACTATTCTTTCCTGTCTCCACCACGGGATGGAGGTCAAGAGGTCATAAAAAGCCCCTCGCTTTATTGGTCCATGTGTTTGTGATGCACTTGCAGCAAATTAGCCCCACTTGCTTGTAACGCCCAAACGTGAGGTGTAAATGTAGCACCCGAACGACAAGACACTCCCAAGTGAGAGCATGGGTCGAAAGTAGGTAACAATAAAGATAGCAGTGGTGGTTCAAAGGCCACTCTTAGCAGAGGCACAAATGCAAACAACGCTAATTACGCACAAAAAAGTTGCCATGAGAAAAAAACTGCACACAAAAGTCATCTCACTTAGCTGTTGGTAAGTTAACGAACCATTTTCAGCCAGTGTCAAGACTTCCAAATAACACGTAGCTGCGGAGGAAAGTGCCTTTGTGACTAAAAGGGCAGGTGCATGTGATTCACCCAACAACTAAACGCCCAAATCGACTCAAATGCTCATCCCACATCTGTTTTATCATTGCCATTGGGGAGCGGAAGTACTGAAGTAGACGTTGAGAGATCGTAGACTTTATTACTGATTAAAAATGGATGAACGAGTTACAGGTAGATAAGAAAGGCTGTGGAGCTGGATACGGAGTAAATGGATAGAGGGAAGTACTGTTTCTATAGCCTCAACTAAGAAATATAAGACAATCAGTAACTGTAGCTAAAATGTACAGAAAAAAAGGAAGCTGAATGAGCAAATCTCTACATAAAAAAAGTTTATTTCAAGCCCAACAAAAAGGCAGCGTGTCTACCTGTTTATACGACAAATTCCTCAACAGAAAGCACCCTGTCGTATTTTTAAACGCGAGTAAAAATAAAACTGCAGGAACTAAACAAGTGGACTCGCGCCTGCTTTTGCCTGAATCAAACAAAATGAATTTTAGAATGGAGGACATTTTCTATGCCATTAATCACAGAAAATTAAAGAGAGGAATAGCCTGAGAGTAAATGGTAAATGTAGTTCATATAGATAATCAGGAGTGAAAAGGTACTCCGATAAAAAATCAGATCCAAGAAAAAAGTTTCTTGCGGTGCAGGAAGATAGAAGTACGAGAGCTGATGCTTCAAGGTAGTCTGGAATAAGAAGTTCGGAACCACCTTGTGAAATCGACGATCAAGAGGGAACGCTTCTCAAGCAAAGCAGAAGACAATGCTTCTAAGAACGATCATGTGGACACAGATTCCATAAAAAAACTTTTGAATATTAGAATTGACGATTCGAGGTTTCGCGCCTTTCTTTCAACTTTAGTTTTGCAAATATAGGGAATCCGGAGCATTTTCTAACAAAATCTGGCCCTAGAAGTATAATCAGAGCAGTTGTAACGGTTTAGGCTAAATGATCAAAAGAAAGGCCATGAGGAAAGAACGAAATCGACCATACAACAAATGTTGTTTTTGTAATGGAGATAATCGTGTCTTCGAATTAACAACTTATGGAAAAAATCAAAATGTAAACCTTTCAGATTTAGGAAAAAATGTCTATTAAGCTAGCCTCACTCATCTATTAGAGCGCATATTTGACTCACATCTGCGCCAATAAAGGGGACAGTACTTCAAAAGTAAGAAAAGTAATAAAACAAGGTGGTAAAACTTAAAAAAAGGCATTCATGTCAAACCATGCGTTCTACAAAATACGCACACTCGGAGAAACAAATATGATTAAAATGGACATGTATGTCAACCTACATGGCTTCATCAGGACTGTAGTGGATAACAGCTCGTTTAGAGATTATGGGCTCATCTGCTAGTGCTTGGAGGAGGAAAAAAGGCTCAAATACTGCAGCGAAGCAATTCCGTTTTAGCATAGCGACATGACGGGCAACCGCCTCGTAGTTATCTGGGACATTTTGCAAATCAAAACAAAGAGTGACTGAGTAACCAGGGTATGGTTCGTCCAATATGTACGGGCCGTATTCTCGCCTCAGAAGCTAAATCAAGAGAACAATAGCTAGTTTGTTTTTGAGGAATAAAAAAAAAAGAAAGTGACTACCCACTCCTTCAACATCATATTCCTTCAATTCGTCGAAAAAGTTTACCAGGAGACTGACTAGGAGCTTGGATTTATCCTTCTCAGGGTTGTGAATCCGATAGAGAATGCGATCGAAATCAGCGACAGTGTGGTCGATTTTTTCAAATTTTGAGCTTACGATTAGACTACGAGGTAAACCTACCCAGCTTTGGCACTACTGAAGCGGGTAAGAAGCAAATCCTCCACAGCCGAATTGTGGAACTCAAGAAATATCATAATGAGCAAATGTGAGTATTTGGTGAGTTAAAGGGCGCTAACAGACATGTCTGAAAAGAGAAAAAAGCAACCTAAGCACGTTAACACAATGCGGCAATGTGCAAGTGATAGGTAAATTGGCTGTCAAGGGATACAGAGGAATATACAAAACGCCTTAATATGTAAAAATAAATGAAAAACGCAGAATGATGGGCATCACATGAAAAGGAATATGCTCACACAAACTACAGCAAAACTCCCCCAAACAAATCACATACTCAGAGTTCTACGCTGATTGGTTAAAATATCGCGAAAAGGTGTTCTGAAGGCTATATTTTGGTACCTCATGCTTTAAAAAAATATGCTGACTTTTTTGCATACAAACTATTTTTTAAACTAGTTGAAACTTTTCCTTTGGCTATTTTCAACAGTAAGAAGTAAAATGAAATGACAGGAATATATAACAAGAAAAACTGGATAACCGAATTGGCAATCACTCCACTGACATGTTTGTGAGCTCTATTTATTCAACTCACATGTAAAATAAGTCACCTTTGTGACGTGTAAAAAAGACTATCAGTCTCCTCGGCATACCATAATGTTGCTATGGTTGATCCAGCATTTGCCTTTAGGACGCGACCATGGGCGACAATCGAATCATCACTTTCCAACTCTTAGTTTGCAACGTTTAGTCAACACAATTTTAATTAGCACCTATTATCCAAGTTTTTGTATTTCATTCAGATTTTAGTATTATAAGTGTTTAATAAGCTGCGCTACAGTTCCAATTTAAATACCATATATATAGTTTGAAACCGCATCCATCTCTGGTGCATCCTTACATTGGTTAAATGTTAACTAATTGGAACTACTCGCTTACTACACTGATATATGCGGGAACATTTTCATTTATGGAAGCAAATATCATCGGTTCGACCTTGTTCTAGTTTTCGATGTTTGTAAAGGATTTTGTAAGGTAAAAATTGATATACTCCTAAACGCACTATCTTTTGTCTAACAACAGTATCAAAAGAATCATTAACATCCTCTAGTAGCTCTCTTGATTGTTGTGGACCCAAGTCCTGCTTGAGATCTGGGACTCGTACGGAGTCGATTGTGTTTAGACTTTGTTCAAACTCCTAAATTTGGAGTTCTAGGAGCACATTTGAAATTTTTGGTCAGCTGGAGTGGTTTGCTAATTATAATGCTTTCCTAAATAACTCCAAGCCAACATAAATGTCGGTCTACCATTACGACGCCCTGCTTTTTCTCCTCTGATAAAGAGAGTTCTCCACCACGTTTACTGGAAAAACCCTCTCCACAAATCCGTACATGAAATCAAAAAGCATCAAACACTTCAAACCAAGACGAAAAATTTATTAACCACTAAAGAAACACGAAAAAACCAAAAGGAACACTATCATCTCATCTCATCTTTGCTCCTCGCATTTTAGCAGCATCTCTTGCAACGGCAGCCTAAAAAGGTTGGAAGAAAAAAAAGTTGGAAGAAAAAATGGGGCTTTAAGTTTATAGGCGGTGTAACTAACAGGTGATGTGAGAAGGCGACTTACAGCATGGCGTGACGCAGCAGCATTCACAGCAGCAATCATCACAGCAACAGCAACTGCAACAACAACGATTACAACCCCTTCTTGGCATTTTGAATGTTTCTTGGCTTTGCTTGGAGATTTATGTCTCTCTTCTGGTGTTTGGCGAGACCCCGAGCACCTTTATATACCCACAAAATGCGCAATTTTTTAGAGTAAATTCCTGCTCTCGCTCCACCATCCCTGCCTCAGGCGCCGTCTGATTGACTCGGCAGCCTCAAGGGGGTGGGGAAGCAGGGCGAAGGGAGGGAGAGAGGGAGGGGAACGCCTAATTGCTGTGGCTCCAAATAGGTTGTTTGGTAATAACCGACTTCATTCACTGTTTTTTTATTAAGTGTCAATTAGGTGCCTCTTCAGCTTCTTTCCCCTCTTCTCCCTCTTTTCGTCACCTCATGCAATAAAGTTGTTCAGGATGGAAATGATGTGGTTTACAAGTGATGCGATTTTTCGGACTTCCGTTTTAACTGATTTGAGCAAAATGTTGTCAGGGTGAGGCGGCTGTGTTCCACCACACTTCTATCCAGTTGCCAACGCCACACCTCCACCATTCCAGCTTGTCTGATAGCTGGCGGACCACTCAGTCGCCATCCCACGATTACATCCACATCCTCCTGTTACTCGTGAATCAAGTTTATGAATGTCTGTGGTATGATGAAATCGAGTGGACAGTTTGCAAGTTTGATTTACTTCTTGCTAATAATTGCACAAAAGTGTATTTAGAGATAAGGCGATGTTGATGAGGTTTTAGTTGCCAAACTGATTGCAGAGCATGTCGAGTGATTAGTAAAGGACACTTGACCAGGCGTCGACTGATCCGCGCGACCTCAAAGACGTTTCAGCATCCCTTTAGTGTCCCCAGTTTTGCGACCTTGCTAACTACACACGACCTGTGATACGTTTTTGATGGAAGCTACAGAGAAGGGAAGGAATGGTGCCACTGCTGTGCCACCGAGAGCATGGTAAAATGTGTCCATTTTTGTCTCCTTATTCCGCATTATATGTACGAACCAGGTGACAACAATAGCGCTAGCGAAACATTTACTTGTCTTTGGGGAAGCATAAACACATTTGAGGTTGGTTCAAGTTCGCCTCCTCGTTTCCACGTCCACCCCGTGATTGGACCACCCTCGGCCTAATTGACAGCGCCAGCAAGGCTACCACCTTATTTCAAATCACGGCTCCACTAGTTTAGGTGAAAATGCAGTTACTTCTGTTATTCTCTACCTAAAAATAAACTGTTTGCCCAACCCAATCCGCTCAAATGATGTGATCATCAAGTTGGTGTCCGCGCTCGCAGTTCCAACCATTCCTCCACCCATCAATCCACTTCAGACCATTCTTCCACCTTCTCCCATTTCCACCAAAATTTTTTTCTCATCAAAACAAGGCGCAATTAAGTTGTGAGACCTTTTTTATTTCAATAATAGCAAAGGTCATTGTCGTACAGGGCGTTGTCTGCTCCAAAGGATTTTAAAAAAAGTGGGAGAAATAAAGAGCAAGAAAAAAAAACTGGAGTAATGTATAAATTGTTTGTGGGCAGTGAAATAAAAATGTATATCTGTTTTTAGTTCACACACTGTGTTCTAGCTGATGGAGGCGGTTGTCAATCACCATTGTGTATATTCGTCGTTAAAGCGAAGCACCTCTCTCCAATTGCCTATAAAACGATATTAAATAATAAAAAAATAATGAAATAATTCGTACAGAAAAAAGATTGTGTGAGGATTTTTAAGGTCAATAGCCTGTTTCATACTGGCGCAGAGGAGTACGCTTTTTTTTTTCCCTCCCCCCCATTTTCGACACAAAATTTTTTGAGTATTGGGTTACCCTTGGGGGTACACACACACCTAGCGTCTCTTAATTTTCCTCAATTCCTCCCTCTGGCTAGGCTGTTTGGGCTTAAAGCTTAAGGCATTGCCATCAAGGCCGCAGGTCGAGAGGACAAGGGATTTATCTTTAAATACGGGTCTTGAGTGGAGGCACACATTCACACCCTAACAGCGACCACAGTCGATTGCGTTTGGCCACGCTCCCTCTGAAAACGCAGTCACTGGGGAGTCACATGCGTGTGTCTGCATCAGAGAAGTCTCTCTAGCAAAAACGCCGGTCGTATTAAACGTCCTGATCAAGTATTTGTCAGATTAAGGATGAAAAATTGCTTGATTTTTGGGATGTGACTCCTCTCCACAGAAAAGCCCGAAATTGCCTCAATTTGTAATTCAAATGATCCGTTGTGTTTTAAGTTGATCTAATATTCATCAATCTCCGAATGGAACTACCTATATTGCAGTCTAATTTCTTGAAGTTGTTATCGGCAGTGAATGACTCTTTACTTACCACCCTGGGAAAGAAGCGAGAAAATGCAAGGTCAGATGACTGCCACCTTTGTTTCTAAGCCGTGAATTTGGTCAACAAGTTATAAGCTAAGTGTTACTTATATTCTTTGTAGTAGAAAGAACGTCACCTGCTTTGCGAATTGACGTATAATAAGGGAAAGGATAAAGGAATTAGCAAAGCCACGGATCAAAAAATGTGCAGCCAGTTTTATTTTTCCAATTGAGCTTCTAGCAAGTGTTCGCTTGCTAGCAGTGAAACAGTCTCATCGGGGAGGTTATCAAGGCGGTATTTTGAAGAAACCTCCTCTCATTTGGAGAAGAGAATACGCTAAATTATTGGTGACTACTTACTTAAATAGATCTAGACAGAGAGTCACGGAAAATAATACCAAAAATTTTAAAATCTCACTGGACCTGATCCACAGACTGAAACACTAACTTCAATGGCAGATTACAAGCATTTCAAGGTCATGACAGGGGTAACCAATCGCGTCGCTGCCATCGCAGACATTGGGCACTAACCACAACGCCAGCATCTAGAAGCCTCGCTTGATTAGTCAGAGGGTTGAAAATATACCCCGGCGTTTTATAAAAATAGCCTCCATTCGCGGCAATTCACTTTTCATGTTTTTACGAAAAGCATCATTTTAAAGTTCCTTTACAGCATCAGCTACACCTTCAAAAGGTGATTTCTGAGTTTTGCAATGTCAAATTCTCATCTTCTAAGCGCTCCGTTGGAAGACCTTTAAATAGTCCACTTCTGAAAAGCAATTGGCATTTCATTCAGATGAGACGCACAAATAGTACTGACAACAAATCGTTGATCGGCTGCTAGTAAACCAATCAAAAGAGAGGTAATAATAAAAGTTCGCATTTGATTGGTCCAACTTACAGTCGATTCGAATGGTATCCACAGGACTCGTCTCTTTTTATTTGCTCATATTTTGGTTACTTTGTTAAGGATTGCCAATTCTACTTTTTGCTCACTAAAGATCCAGGCAGAGTATTTTTTTATAACCTCGACATTTTAACCGTTAGCATGGGGCCAGATGTCCGTAGTCGCGTTTTAACCCAGTTGGAAAGAGCTTTCCTCGTAAAACTACCCTGTGTTATTCCGAATGATTCTCGAATTTGCATCAGCAAGGTTTTCCTCCACATTTTGTAGAAATCGACTTTGTTCGAAGTTGGTTGAGCCAATTGACCAATCAATGAAACAACGTGCCTTAATTCTCACATTGCTGGATTTAGCCATTATATCGATTTCTAACTGCTGAAAATTTCCACATGGAACTCCAACCCGAGTCGGTTTTGTTGCAGGCGGCAGACTTTCAACGGGATCACAAAAGCTTCCTTAATCCGCCTTAGACTTGTCTAAACACAGTCACACACACGAAGAAGACGTGCACACATACAAACACGAGGCACCACAAATCCTGGTCTCCCCGCGCGTGCCTACACGAATAGCCATGCGCAAGCACGCGCGCATAACCACGTACGCACGTTTGGTAGTGATTATCCAATGGAAGACTAGCGTGCGCCAACAGAATAGCTGGCCAAGAGACGATCGATGCGATATGGTGCGGAGGTGTGTGTGTGCGCGCACAGGATTGCGTACGGCTATTCGCAGTAAAACACGCGTCAGCCGTAGCAGCAGCAACATCAGCATCATCATAATCATGCCTTCTTTACAGCGAATGCTGCTACCTCTGCCTTCTTATAGCTCTGCTGGTAAACTAGCCCTATCATTGGAATTGTCGATTGCTGAGAAACTATTGACCCCCTAAACCATAGCAGTCTTCAGTTGAAAGGAAGCTTACAGAGGACACCCTTAAGACTCAAAACCAACCTGTCTCACTAAGTGAGCTATTGGTGGGTCATGTAAGTGGGCTTGTTGGTGGCATGGCGTACCTAATTTGTCCAGTTCGAGCACTTTAGGGTGCAGAGATCGCACCAATGCAATACTTACCTCTTCAATAAAATTGCATCGCTGGTTTTGGTTGGGACAATGACATCCAGCGATATTTACGCAGTTTTTCAATGTGGCTGGCCCTCTATTTGGACAGCCTCCTTCCACAAACGTCAAGCAAACCGTTTAGACACAAGTTCCCTTCTAAGCGTTGGCAACGCTCCAGTTATCCACCTGAAGGCGTTGGAATCAAGGTTTGCTGTTGTCACCCCGAAGAGAAGATGGAAGACGATGAGCAATGCTTTCGTCATCAAAAGCATTGCATTCATAGCCTGACTTGTCCCCAAAAAGGGCTTCGAAAAGGCACAACACTAACCACAGATGCTCAAGAAGGGACTGAGAGGGGGTAGTCGAACCCATTCTTCCAAAAGTGTATGAGAGGTGACTGGACGACGTGAAATTCATGCAGAACCGAAAATATTCGGCAAGAAGCTCGTAAATGCGCTTCGACAGATAATTTGCCCACTTCTCACCACTTTATAAGAGCAGGAGAGTTTTGGAGCCAACAATGTAATGCTTTACCCTTGTTCAACTTCCGATTAGAAAGGAACGTCTTTTGAATCTCTTTAGCAATGTCAAGTGCCGTAGATAGCCTAGACTATTCGAGATGCTGAAGTTACGCCAAATGATGAAGGACCTCGCAATACGGACTCACAGTATCCGTAAAACACTCACTTCGGAGATAACATACATCACAAGAGAGGAGTGGAGGGGATCCAGAAAACTGATACTTCCAACCAATAACCAACTAGTTAGCTGCCTACAAAACAGGTTGGAGAGTGTCCAATTATTTGCCTTGAAGTACCAGGAAGGGCGAATAATGCCTCTTCTCCACTAAAGTGTTTCAAACACCTCATCAACTCCGTTCAGTCCTCCAGAAACAGTCAATTTTAACAAAACACAACAAAAGGTGCCATAAGGAAAAAGAGAACAGAAAAGAAAGAACTCACAGTAGCAAATTTATTACATGATATTGCCACCTAGACTGTCATCTTCAACAGCATCAACAGCAGCACGATAGAACGGATCAGACCAAGTCGGATCGGTTCAGCTCATCAGAACAAGAAAGGTTAGGGCTCAGTAGGAGTCATTCTTCGGGAGGTCACTTTAGACACACACACGCACAAGGGGGCGTCTGTGGGGGGTGGAGGGAAGGGAGGTGAGAACTTCCAAATTAAAGGGAGATATATAGGGAGAGAGAGATAAAGGAAGAGGAGGAGGAGGAGGAGGAAGAGAGAAAGAGAGAGTGAAGAGAGAAGGGAAAAATAATAAACAAGAGTACTTTTCAGCATTGATCATCAGCAACAGCGTTACCATCAAACGAAAAGAGACCGTGGCGTGTGTGGAGGTGTGGGTGATTACAACTTTTATGCGTTGTTCCTCTTTCCTCGTGATTTTCACCTCCTCTCAAACGAGTAAATACACACACTCACGCAGAGAAGAGGGTGGGAGGTGAAGTAGGGACGATAAGAAGGTAGAGAGGAGGAAGAAGAAGAGGAGAAGGTGGAGGAGGAGGAGGAGGAGGAGACTGGTTGAGTGATTGACTGATTGTACAGAGCGGTTTGTGGCGTCATTTTGTGGATGGACAGGTGGATAAATGGACGAGTGGATAGGCAGGAGTTGATGTATGTGTAAGGTCGGGTGAGAGCGCACTAAACGAGGTTGTATTCCTTCAGGTTCAGTTGGAGAATGGTATCCTTTACAGCGGCGAAGACGAACCGAATGTTCTCCGTGTCTGTGGCACAGGTGATGTGCGAATAGATGACCTTCTCCGGGTCGGGATTTAGCTCCACGAACATCTTCAAGATGAACTCGCGCGCTGCTTTGGCGTCTCTTTGAGGACCTGTGCAGTGGAAAGAGAGAATGGACGTGGCTCTAGCAGCAGTGCACATTTCTCGGAATCGTGAAAGTCCTTCCATGGTACCATCCAGTCAGCAAAGAGAGAAACCACGACCCCCAAACGACCTATTCATGCATCAGTTGAACAAGCACACCTTCGTAGTCTGCCAATAATTGAGCTTGCGAATTCCAAGCATGTCCTCAGCCGATAACGACTGACACTTACACGACTCAGACACAACTAGGGCAGGACAACATCGTGGAAGGTTTAGATGGCAGTGATAATATGGGAAGCTAACCTCAATCTCGCATCAAACTTCCAAAAATAAACCCCTACGAAGGCGATGCTGTTGGAAATAAGTCTCAATTACTCTCAACAATGCCATGATAGAGATCAAAGTCTTGACATTTGACTAGTTTTCAGCCCTAACTAAATTAGTACTTGGAAATCCGTGTCCTTCTGCAACAATGATGAGAAATGAATAGGCGATTTGGAGCCTGGAAAACGACGTTAGGAACACTGAACAATAACTTTTACAATTAACAACAATGACGCTTTCCAATTCTTCAAGTAAGGCATCAACACCCGAAGTTGTCTTTAAGGTGACCTGAAATTTCAAGAGACGTGTTGGCTAATTTAAAGCCTTGAACAACTTGTATTTTACCAAAGGAAGGCAACAATACCAATTGCCTTGAAAATCGCACAGTGAAGAAGCCCTTAAAAGTTACAAATCAGTGCCCTAAAGATGAGACACAATGGCAGTTACAAAACCAACTTAGGGGTGATCCATCTGGAAGACAAGTTAAATGATTGCAGAGTGACATCAAAAGGCGAGATCTTTTTCGAAGTCTACACTTTAGTTTGCAAGAAAAAAGCAGCGAAACACAACTACAGAGCGTGGTAGATGACCTGACAAGACCCTGGCAGCAGAAAAGCAATTTGGCTTGTTTGACTACCGATGGATAAAATTTATATGGGATACGACCTTGACCCAAGCGGAAATTGCTGTGACACTGGCAATATGTCGTGTTAATAGGAAGGAACCAATTCAACTCCTTCAATCAACCCTGAGGAAAATAAAAACAAACAAATCAAGGCGATAGGCTACTCGGAATCCAAGTAAAATAGAAGACAGAAATGAGTCATCATGGTTGTTCTACATCGGTCTCGTGCCTGTTGAAGTAGTCTACGCCCCTTCCTTTGGTGGTTTAATTTTTATTAAAGGTTGAGGTCACACGTCACAACTAATGTTAGAGCCAATCACCCCAATTCCCTGCCGCAACCGCGAGGACACATTTGAACGACTGCAATCATTTCAAAGGAAGCGACGTGCCAAGGTGCGACAACGGTCTTCATGTCGCAATGATAGAGACCTACTGTAGATCCACGGTGGGTCAAAATGCTCGGTGCCCACAGATAGAGACGAGCATTCAAAGCGTTGCCACGAAAAGTGACCCAGTTGAGCCCCATGTGCAACACGTGGCCACGATCCATGTGCTGATAACTGTGGTTGCCTTGTGCAGACCTTTTAGTTCGTGCATAGCAAACCTCCATATGGACGCCACTTACATGCAAGCTGGGATAGTGATCACTCTGTAAAACTGGAGGGAGGGTTTCCGAAATAAATAAATAAATAAATAAATAAAAGCTTCTCCTCTCTTGATGAAAAAAAGTTACATTCAGTGGCCTGTTCCCAAGGCTGAATTGGGAACTTTCGGGGCCTGTAGAGCCTTACACCCACTCTAACTGAAATGAGGAGGATGTGTTGTGGAAAAAAGTCCCATCAAATGTAGCCTTTGGTTTTCAAACCCAAGTGTATTTCTGGAAAATTTTAAACAACCAAATGTGTGGTAATTCTGCAACCCTTGCGACTGCCTAGTAGTAAAGAAAAATGTCAACTTCGTCACAGGAAGGAGGGAGGGGGGGGGGGACAATTCGCCCACTTCTTCGTATAAAAAATGACGCATTTGGAATTCGAGTGCAATAATCATTTTGCACCCTCGCTTCCCATCTATGAGTTGGAAGCCCAAATTAAACCGCCCATTCTCTCTCTCTACTTTGAAAAGGAAATCACTCGAGGAGATTCGACAGTGCAAATGAAGGCCCACTTTTGAGTATCCAGTAAAATCTGCTAAATGAACCACAATCTCACAGCGCTTCGCGATCCAGCTCTCGAGATGTACAGAAATGAGTTGACATGGATTTAAAACTATAATTTGGCAGTGCCTCTTCGAATTCCGTAACGATGAACCGGAGTCAGCTGACGAATGAACATAACTGTTAACTTTTGGGTTGCAGCATTCCCAACTTCTCCGGTCCTCGCGGTCGCAGCTGTGGTTCAATCACAGATGCCCCTGGGAAAAATTTAACACCGATGGAAGTAGACTATAACTGCCAGCACATATGCGCCACCACTTAGTTAGGGGGTTCATGTCCTTCCAAACCTCACAAATTACAACCCTTAATCAAACCGAACGCAATTGTGTAAGAGTCCTAGACACGATAAAGTGCTCCTTCCTATCACGGCACCATACAACGCCGAAAGCATCATCAACAAGCGTCTTGCGAAACGTTCAACAATTAAAGGAATAAAGTACTCAACCGTTCCAAGCACCCTCCCTATAACTTCACAAATTTCCTAGGCAATTAAAATCCTTACATTCAGCATTTACTGGAATTTGAAGACAGTGATAATCAGAGCCTATTCCTCGAAGTCCTCTAGAACGGCGGTTCCTTTAGAAGGCACCATCAAACCTCTACGTCATTTTTCAAACGTGTTAGAACGTAGTGGAGACCAAAGTACGCGACAAGACGCAGGAAGTAAACATTTGGCTTCGAAAAAAGAACTTGAGATTTGGCCAGACGTATTGTCTGTTATACTTTGAATACCCAAACGGAGTTTCAGCTAGCCAGTCAAACATGGACCAACAAATGACCTGCTCGGATTATGATTAAATACCAGTTCAAAATGGACACATACACCTGTGTTCAATGCCTCCCGTCCAAATTTGAGATTCCCTCAAAATGTAAACACATGAATTTCGGGGGAAGTGGGGCGTACTTTCAAGCCAACCACTAGGACTGAGAAAGAAGAAGAGCCCAAAGGGTAACGAGAAAAGTGGAAGAGAGGCACCGAATTCCAGGTACATCAAAATAACACAAAATGAATGAGCTTCGAGGTTGGCTCCCAAAGTTAGCCTAAGCGGCTACAGGTCCTTTTCGAACATTAAGGCATGAATCATGAAAGGAATAGTCAAGGCTAGACAGGAAAGGGGCACTTGAGAACATGGGAAAAAGGTGAAATATGCCTGGAAAGGTGGCAGAATAAATTGATGTAAACGAGAAAAGCCTGAGTGGAGAGGCAATAATGGTTAGAAGTCGCAAAAAACGTAATACAAGGAGAAACCGCTCTCCTTCTGTAAAGCTATATTTAGGCAGAGGGTGGGATTGAGACGGGATTAAAAAGCACGAAAATTTCAACCCTAAGTTAACCAGTAAAGTCAATCTATCAGAGCATTAGCAACCACAAAAAGTAGCGGTTTTGAGAGCTCAAGTCTTCGTAAAAGGAAATCCGACTTTGAAGCCTAGAAATGGCAGAACTACAAAACGAGAGATCAACTGCTTCAGATTGTTTGCTGCAAGAAATTGTGATGCCTTTAGGTCCTACAGACGCAAAAAATATCCCAAAGCAGGCCACTTATTTGAGAAAACGTAAATAAGCCAATGAAACTACCCTGGGCAAAGGTGTGAGGTGAGACCGAGTGATGTTGATAAGCTGGTGGATGATAGGAAGTAGGGGCCAAAGCATCCTAGCATGTCGGTAATAAGTCTACAGCATAAATTTCATGGAAAACTACTAACCTTTCAACACGATTAATTTAAGCGATACACTTAGTATTTGCAGCTCAAACTCGAAAGCAGTTTGAAAGATGTTACACGGATTGACTAGTTCAATGAGCCAAGTGAGCCGATGAGCAAAACGCATTGACCCAATGGAAATGGGACAGAAAGTTTTCTTGAAAGAGTGGGGCGGCAGTTGAAAACCGCGGCAACACATCCGAATGGCAGAAAAGTACGCCATAAATACCCAAGATGCCTAGGCAGCCCAAGTGAGATACCAAGAGGAAGATGACGTTGTCAGCTGCCTTAAAAAAACGCACCAATGTCCGTCTGGAACACCTCAGACAAAAGTGGTCACGGAAAAAGTACTTTTACTGGCGAACGAGCACTAAGACCTCCAAAAGTTCGAATCCGTTTAGGCGAATCCAGTTGTTAAGATTGAGAAGAGCTACGGATTTTCGAGTAACTGTACATGAATACTTTTGGACGCCCGGTGAGAATGTTGACAACGTTCCTAACCGACAACCCAAGTTTCTAAGTAGGTTTTTTTTTAAAATGTAACCGAAAGATAGCACAGAAATCAGGAAAGGGTCTTGTAAAAGGCGATTTCCTCATAAATCACATCAAACAACTACCCGGGAAGCATGAAAGAAAGCTGAGGAAAAAGCTTCTCGTTACTCATTCCACTGCGCCATTTACGATGCACCTGAAGGGCATTTCAAAAACAGTAAAACTTTGACCTACGAACCAGTGAACGGTACCATACATTAGCCACTAAAGGAACCGAACGACAAAAAAGCTATAACCCCTTGAAAATGGAAGAGGCAAATAAAAGAGGACAGGAGGTAGTCCAAAAGCTCACCATCGTATTCGGGAAAGTAATCAACGAGGTGAGAATAGAGAATCTTCTCTTCCAGTAGATCCTTCTTGTTGAGAAAGAGAATGACTGAGGACTCCTGAAACCAGGGGTAGGTGATGATTGTTCGGAAGAGGGCCTTACTTTCCTCCATTCGGTTCTTTAAAAGAAACAAAAACAGCCTCTAATCGAAAATAGGAGAAAAAAACGGTATCTTAGGCAACAACAGGATCACAGATTTATCGTTATAAAGTGCAATACGAAGAACAACAATTGCCACTTCCATTCGGAGGGCTTAAAAAGCAAGAGTCCAATGCCAACTCATAGGTGGCTATAAACCAATTGATATAGAGAGGGAAGGAGTGGCAAAGTTGACGCGTCTACCGCAAAAAATGAAGCGTCAAAAGGTAACATATCTGTTTGAAGAAGACGAGGCACCTCCCAACAACAGCACAGATGGGAAGTCTTAAGATGGGTAAGAATTGGAGACTTGTTAATTAACTGCCACTAAAGTGAAACCGACAATGACTTTGTACTTTTGCCTTGGTAGAGAAGCTGGTGGTCGAAACCAGAAGTTCAAGCAACAATGGGACTCTAAAACTTATGACAACTCCAGTCTTGATAAATACACATGAAGTTTTAAAATCAACATTTGGGGTCTAAAGGATTTCAAAGTTGGAAACTAGTGGTAAATAAAGAGATAAGTAAGTCAAATATGCGGAGCTCATCCCTAGAGCACAGGTTTGCATCCACTGACTGGAAAGGTCGAATGTGTATGGGCTTCTGAAAAAGCGAGAGAACAATGCAATAATGACGTGATAATATAGTTACGTTGTTGTGAAAGTCTTCGGAGTGTTTACATGTAAAAAGGATTATTCAGGATGCCTAAAATGAATGTAAGATGCGTGGATTTTCCACATTGTGCTGAATGAGCTTTTTCGATTTACAGGTAGGACCACAGCCTTTCATGGTAGACAAATATCCTTGATCTGATCCAACAACTACTCTATCGCAGTCTTCAAAAACTAGAACACAGGGAACCTATACCTGAGCACAATTGGCGTGCAAGGATTCTTGAGTTCTCCTTTCGATGTTAGCAAATGGGCAAAAGCGGTCAAGCAGAGTTCGGGAAGGCGAAGTATAAGAATTATCAAAACCATTGAAACGGCAGTACAGTAAACAGCGAATCTCGCAAAGCACTGCCGCCCCTTCCTCCCTCCGCGTTGGCATCGATCGGTGGGGAAACAAAAGATGGTGTGTACTGGAGGTTAGACCGAATTTAAGTCGAGGCACAAAAAAGCGCTAACCACGGGTATAAAGTAAATAACAAAAATATTCGGTGAGACTGTGAACCAATTAAAAGCTGAGAGAAGGGATAGTAAAACATTCGCTAGAAATGTCACGCGTTTGCGACACGTGATCGTTATCACGTCATGATAGGTGAGGCCGCACCTGGTAGAAAATGCAGCAATTCCGACAACGAACAATAAAAATTAATGCTTAGAAGTGGCCTAACGCCAACCCAACAGTGACTTGAATGAGAAGGGAAGCATTAGGCAGAACCAATCAAAAATGCAGATGAAGTCAGCACCATCCTGAAGCATAAAAGCCCCCTTTAAGTACCTAAAAAAGTCCCCAAATGCAAAACACAAGACCCACCTCATTGTCCGATTCGACAAGAACCTGATCGTATTCGGAGAGAGCGACAAGGAACATAATTGAGGTGACGCTCTCAAAGCAATGGATCCATTTTCGACGCTCCGATCTCTGACCGCCTACATCGACCATCCTGGTTGATACAAAAGAGCACAAGAGTGACTCAAAAAAAGCGTAGGACGAATGGGAACTAAAAACAGAGGTGAACCACGCCTTCGCCTTCTACTTATTAAGCAAGTAAATAAGGAAGGCATCAATGGGAGACCATAGTCGGCCTCACATAACCTAGTTGGGTTCAGCGTTAGACTTGACAATAAAGAGTACTTTTCACCGATAAACCCATCAATCCATCCAATACTTAAAAATACCGGGCTGTCCGTTGGACAGTGTTTCACCACTGTTAGAAATCAAATTGATTACAACATGACGAGACAAAGCGTTACTCTGCCTAAGTAAATCATTGGGTAATTCGTGCCACTTTTTTCTGAAATTCACCTCTTTTAGCGTCAGTTTACCCCACAAAAACCCTCTGTATCAGTGACCAAATTCCTATTAAACCTAACCCATTAGTTCATAATCCAACTAGGATTTCACTTTATTTAAATCGAAAAATGAAAATTTTATGGGATGATGAAGACGAGGATGAAAAGACGCACCGAAAGATGATAGAGTCCAAATCGAAGGGATACTCGATGATTCCAGTGGTGGGAACACGCAAACGAAGGATGTCTTGCAAGGTGGGAAGGTAGTCACTGGCGGCTATGCGATCGATGTTGTCCAAGTAGCTGCGTGAAGGGCGGGAGGAGAGGGAAACAGGGTAAAGAGGGGTAATTAATCAATCAATTTCCACCCCCTCCCCCCAACCTTCTCGGATTACCAACAGGGTGATTCTGAAAGCATTGGCCACATCTACCATCAACATCGATTTCGCAACCAAAGCAGTAAAAAAGCAAGATTACGTTTCGAAAGTGAGGAATTACGTCAAATGAAGAAATAAGACCCTTTACACCTTTCCAAAAGAGAAGCAGAACGAAATCCTTACAATGACAATACCCTTGTCGACTTCACGTATTTTTAACAAATGAAGTCCAATCGATGTTAGGCAAGCTTCGAAGCTTGGCCCAGTTAGTGTATCGAACTAAAAGTTGTCCAAACAGTGGACTGACAAGCGGTGGCAGGACATAAGGTTCTGGAAATAATCAAGGGTCGATCCAAAGTAATTCAAACGTGAGTGACATTGAATCAGAGTGACAGCAAGCCACCAAACTTTCAACAACTTTGCGGAGATTTCAACTCCTATTAACGGTGTAATGATCTGAGAGAGTCAAAGCGACTGTCGACATCTACTTGTGGTATTTTAGGGAAGCTGAGCCGGTATGACACCAGTAATTTAAAAAAGGAAGCGAAAAGACTAGTTAAAACGTTAAACAAGCTGAAAACATTGAATAATCACTATAACTCACCAGGCTCCTAAAAGTGGCAAAAGCAATTCTCCTAAATAGCTGAAGTTAGGACTTTGATTAGCAAAAACACATCCAATTTGGTATTCACGACGTCATTATGTAATGTTACCCAAGAAATGCACTGTACATGAACTAAAAGAGGGAACATAGGACATCGCAAATATTTACTTTTGAGTAACCAGACGAAAAGCAACCACATTTTAGGATTCACATTCGAACTAGCTCGACACTATTAACTCCGGTAAACCCATTTAGAAGGAAGATAGGAGAACCTCCAATTTCCGTGTTGCGTGAAGTAGGCAAATGAGAGGAAAATGGTAGGTCAGAAGCAAAACTACATTGAAGTACGACTACACGACTGCTCTCCGAACGCAAGGGTTGATCCGTCACCGATACGATAAAAATGGTGAAATTCATAAGCTGAGACGCTGACCCCAAGGTTAGAGACAAAACCACAGAGAATGGGACAAATTTCACTCGTTTTTGTACTCTAGAGTTAGATCATTATGCCTTTAGTTCAATGAAGGCATTTAACAGACCTTTTAACGTGTCATTTTCCATAATCTCACCTGAACTCCACACATAGCTTAGCAGCCGAGCAAGAGCGAAATGAGGTTCACCTTTAGATTATTTCACATTTCATCCTAAGTATAGATCTCTTTCCAACCAGAAAAGGTAGGGAAAAACTGGCTAACCTTAATCGTCATACTCAAACCACGAGCAAACAATTCACCCTCCAAAGACTCTCCCACATAAGATCCCATCAAATTTCATAAAATCAGATAAACTCCAGGTGCATCGAGGGATGTATAAGGAATACAGTCTACCAGAAACTTGTTAAACCAATAATACCTCCATACTTAGGTATACTAATGCGAAGGGAGCAATACACCATGCATTAAGTGAAACATTCAAAAATTTGCTATTCCAATCTTGTGAACCCGATTACATAAAGATTAAGGAATGGGATACAGACAGAAATGACTCACTATTTGGCAGAATCAGCAAGTTGATATTCGCGACGACGATCGTAGCACTCCTTGATACCCGGGTCACTCCACAACGACTTGATAGCCACCACATGAGCTGGATCCAGGGTGGTCACCGTCTCGTAATCGATCTCGCGCGCTTGCTCTGCGTGTTCCTAGAACGAATGACCAAAATTCATTCATCATCCATTCACAACTTCATTCGTCTAATAAACGTATCAATTAACTTGTAAAATTGTCCATTAAATCATTCAACTACCGGCCTACCTAAACCACTCATCCATCGACACTCATTTTATCTACGTGGTTATTTAAAAAATGCCAACTCATACAGTTGTGACTCTAATCCAACCATCCTTCTACACTTCCACTTCACAAAGACTTCAATCCACTCATCCACGGATTGGATAAAGAGGATCCTCAGTCGACTGACAGAACAATTCTATTGAAGCAATGCAGAGATAAAGGAAACACAAGGGATCTTTAGAGTTAAAAAAAGTCATTCTCCAAAATAAACCATATAGCTATCTTGATCCGATATAGAAGCCAGTGAATTAGTGGCTTTCAAAGTGGATGAGCCAGCTAACGCAGAGGTCGTGTCAGCAATAATGACAAACTCAAGTCAACTACGAAAGGAAATACAAACAGCAATGAACAGCAAAATGTGAAGGGAGCACACCTTCCTGAGTAGAAAACGGACTTCAAAGCTTCTATCCCAATAAGTGCCTTTTTAACTCAATGAAGCAGCTCAACAGAAAAGGCGGTTGGTAAGCGAAATTCGCTCAGTGTACAATATCGACTTGACTTGAACAAAACTTCTTGATCAGTGACAGGGACTAAACCAACCTACAAGATACCAACGTCATGAGAAGACTGCAAAGTCTATGTGAGTGCCTTCTGGGAACCAACCCTCATAATTGAAAACGGAGGCGTTACCAACTCACCATAACTTCGAAGATAACTAAGATTCCTTAGGACTAGACAAAGGAGACTCATAGCAGGAAACAAAATCAATAAGTGGAGGAGAAAGGTGGAGATAACGAAGGAATTGGACTTGAAACGAATTGGGAGGCGTTAGTGGTTAGTTATGTATGCAAATTAATACGCGAACAAAAGCACACATACACAAACGTATACGTGCAGAGCCAAAGGCCTATGCGCATACGAACATACATTACACTACATTACATACATACACACACAGGGAGGTAGAGATTGGCAAAGCGCAGTGCTAGTGAACTGATGGCGACGGAGGCCTTGACACACTTGACGCGTTGACATTTGACGTTAGTGAGGGAAAAGCACTAGCCTTCATCTCAACTCAAAAACGGTAGGGAAATTAGTTTGAACTACAAAGAGCAGGCGACCAAAAGTTTGTTCAGCAGAAGATCCACTGAGTAGACAGAACCGCAATCAAAATGAGGAAATTTCGAGAAGTCAAGCAGAAAAAAAGTGCCTCGTGCATGAGCGCAAAGCGAGCAAGGCGTTAAAAAGAGGTAACACCTTTTAGTAACATAAGGTAATGATGAATCGCATTCGCATATTTGACTGTGGCATCATTTGCGGAACCATCTTAAAGAATCAGAAAACTCAATTCCGACTTGGCAAAAGAACGTACCGCATGCGTGGCCCTTTAGATCACACAAATGAGAGCTATTCAACCACGTATTATGTAGCAGATAGATGAAATCAAAGATGAGAGTAGCATCGTTTTGAAAAAGGCAAGAATGTTTCAATCAAGGAAAATCCTACGCCTTCTCGAGTTCAGTCTCTGTTGAGTGACTTTGATACGACAAATTAGACGGCTGAAGTGAAGCAGCATGCTTCCCATGATTCAACTTATCCTTTCGAAGAGGCAAGGCCAGAGCTGTAAGTACTCATATGCAAGCCCCATTTCCCGATTTGATATGTTTGCTGCATGTAATCTTCATAATTCCTACCAATGACAACAATAAGCTCGTCAACTTAAGAACAAGGCCTGCGTTGTGAAAATGATTTCGGACTTGATAAGAATTTAAGAACGACAATCTCGCGTTTGGCAGGACTTGTTAAAAGAGAAACAGAAGGCAGCAATTTCATCTTAAAAGTGACGTATTGACGACACGCGTACTTTAACATTGGAATGCTCATGACTTAGCCCGCTTACGAAAGCCTGCCAATTTTATACAATCGAATTAACAATGGCAGACGACATTAGAGTTAGCTTGCTCGTTCAAAGAGGCATAACTTTGACTTTGAAACTTAGAAGCCAGCCAACCAGCACCAATCAGGTTTCCAAGGCATCAAAAAGTAAACCTAAGTGAACGTTCCACCGATTCTCCCACATATTCAGATGAACCCAGGACCCTGGAGTCTGAATAACTAGTCAGCATTGCGGAGCAGAAGGCTAGTAGGAGCAACTTTCGCCATTTGTAACTCGTGATTTCTCGAGTCCTGAGTCTTGAATTTTCGAAAGGTGGTGCAGGCTGGGACATCGGATTAGCTACTCAACGGAATCGAAAGGTAGCTAACACCTAAAGACCATTCAATTGTGAAATGTTTAATAGGCAGCTTGGTAGGAACCATTGGATTAAGCATCTCAGATCTTTCAACGCACCGTTGATCATTCCGCCTCTCCAAATCAATTTAGGCATCTAGCAACCAGTCCATCGATGAAAAAAACCACTTGGTAACGCAATTACAAGACAAATATCCTAGTTTCGGGAGCTTGGAACATCAAGAAAGCTAAATCAGTTCATTGGCCACAAATCGCATCAAAACAAAAGTTTACCCGATTGATGGGGTTCTCGTAGGGTATCTTAAGGGTCTCCATGGCCCGAATAAGGGTGTACATGGCAAGATAGATATTCTGGTAGACCAGTTTTATTAGACTGCGTCTCTCCTCATCCGAGTAGCCCGAACCGTGGATGATGCGCATCTGCTTGATGAAGGTGCTCTTTCCCGATTCGCCTGTGCCTACGTAAATAAAACAACACAAGTTAGCTCTAAGGGCTCTAAGGGTTGATCCCATGACAGAGTAATTTTGGAGACATATTCATTGTCATGCGTACCACGAATGACCAATGAATGTCTGGTTCAGCCTAGCCGACCAAGCCTAATTACTCGGTAAAGATGAAATATTGCATACTGGCACAGACACTTGAATCCAATACAGCTACCACCAAGACTATGGCTTAACCTCGAATCTAAACGTGGAAGCAGGCAAAACAAATCCCATGACAAAGCTATCCGATAAGAGTATCCTTTAATTCAGTTATTGCACATGGATTCATCCAGTTCCACAACGGTCTGATGGTCTGTCTGTTTGAACCCATCAGATTCAAGGAATGAGACAATCCCAACTCCACTTGATTGTATTCTTAAGGTCAAAAGCGGTGTCCAACTTCGGATCAGATTCACTTGATAGGCGGAAATAGACAATTCAAATAAATGACCTATTTCAAAGTCACCACATGTAAACCTGAACCACTTTAGTCAAAAGGCAAAGCAGTTCTCCACCAATTTCCTAAACATCGGTAGAGTGAGCCAGATGATGTCTTCCATTGATGCGAAATTAATGACCCAACAGATTTACTCATCATTTGATGATAACCCAATACTCGATACAATCTAGTCAAACCCGTTAAACTCTTCGAAGGAATAGACCATTCGATTGCCTCTTACATGTCCTAACCACGTAGTCAAGATAATGACCACTGAAAATGCACAATCTAAAACCGAAATCCAACTAATCTTAACCCTACCTGGGGCACAATAGGACAGTTAACACCGAAAAGCGTATTCATTGGTTTCGAGCTAGGTTGCTGGCTGCGAAACTGACCATGGCAAAGACTGTCAGCATAGCAATTATGGATTACAAAACCTGATTAGCCATGTTTCAAAAGAAATCTGCAACCAGGCTCGAAAATGAAACAAAGTATAGAGGAATAAATGAGAAGGGAATAAAAGAAATCGGGAAGTAGAATTCATAAGATAAATCTTCAACATATTATTGCGTGATATCAATGACGACAGAAAAGAAGGCCGGAATAAGACAAATAAAAGACAAGAATCCTAATGGGCTAATGGGGTTCATCATAAGAAAGGACCATTAACTTAAAGTGAGGTTAAATTACCAGCTGTTCTGCTAAGGAAGAAAATGTCCTTACTGTTCTCATTTGGCACACCCACTCACTTATTGACCAAACGTTAATGTCCATTCAGTACAACGATAAAGAAGCATCCCTCAGCTTAGCAATAAATTGTCTACATTAGCTAATACAAACAGCGACTCACACATGCGAGAGAATCCAACTCTATGAGGCTAAAAACAATATTCATTGTCCCACACTACCCAACAGTATAAAAATAGAGCCAATTACCCAATTTCTTTCGAAGGTATTTTAACAAACCACAAACACCCGGCTTGATTGAAACAACCTTAAACAACAATGGACCGATCAAAAAGATCGTACGAAGTGCAATTCACCGGCGAAAGAACAAGCCGACCTAAGAAGGCCATCACCACGTAACAAAAATTCAGCTGCGCAGGTTTTGATCGTCAATACTCAGACATGCAAATCTACTAGCTGAGAACTGCCCACAGCGTTTCCACAATGCTATCAAACAGCACGAAAACTGAACAAGAAAAGACAGTTCCTATCAAAAATTCGGAGAACAGGTTAGGTTCGACGACTAAAAGCAACCAAAATAGACTGCTTAAAGAGACTAGTCTACTAAATGGAACACAATTCTGGGAGACTAAAAAGGCCAAAAAGGCTGAGATATCGAAGTATTAACAGGCTTAAGGCGCCAAAGTCACAAATCATGTCATGAAAAACCAGCACAACACGTCCGGGTCAAGCATGCACAAAAAACACAAAAGAAAAGCATACAGTATGAGAAAGGACTAGACAATGCGTAGGCAATTTACCGAAAAGTCCAAATGAGCAACCAAATTGCATAATACCCATAAGCACGTCAACGAACAAGGACATACCCGTATGCAAAAGTACACACTTCAACTAAAAACAAATGCAACGCAAACATACCCAGCAAAAGAAGTTTGAGCTCCCTTCGGGCATCCTTTTTATCACGCTTCAGTTGCTTTTCGATTTCCTTATTTATTCTATTTTGCTCCTTATACTCTTCACTCCGGCAGCAAGACATTGAGGCAACTTTAACTTATATAAAAATTGTATTCCAGATGAAAATTTGACACAATATGACGTATGAAACTATACAGAGTATTGCAGATCCTACGAATTAATCCTGTTGGCTGTCGAAATTATCATGACCACCAAAAACTTCAACAGTCGCGGGGCCACCACATTTATACATTAAAAGAACAAACAAGGAATTCTAAACTACGTAACTTTTGATACTTTTTAAACCATGGATTTTCTACACTGAGCTATTTTCGCAATACCTTTATTTTTGATTTTGTTTTCGCATTTTGTTTTGCTATAAAAACGTAAAATTTTATGACGCAGAATACAATTCTTTAGCAAAAATAACATTAAACACTTTGACTGTCCTTTGGTTAAAAATTAATAATAACGTGTATTTTAAATAATTTATTTGGTTAATAATATGGGTCAAATGCATTTCAGAAGATATTCTGCTTTACGCTGTGGATCTCCCATTTGGCCCTCACGGATACAAGCTACTGAGGGCGGTGATTCAAGAGCTATATCTGAGCCCGTGGAGAGCCTACTTTAACTATATCACGAGCAACCCTAAAGAAGCAAGGACCGTATATTTAGCGGCAGGAAGTCCATTCAGCTCTTTTGCTTATGTTACTTGCGTATCAATCAAGTTTAAAGTGTTGAACAGTCACCACCATTCTTATCCAAGGCAGATTCTTATAATCTTGCTACGCAAAAAGTCGAAAAGCTGAATTTTGAGCTGCTCTTTCTATTATTTATGAAGTATAAGTGGCTACATGTAGGGGAATTAGCACCATGGTCCCATCATTATATGCACTGGCATGTTATTGCTCTTGACCTTCACGATAAACCTGGCTTCCTAGCGCGACTTCAACCCGCTTACGGGATTGGCTTAAAAGTAGCCAATAATTAGCGCGGTTTGTATGCGAAATCACCAATGGGAAGGCGAAACGGTAACCTGGGCAGTAGTTGGCATAAATCGTGGAGATGTGAAAAATTTTAAAACGAATTGTTCATAATTCTCATAACCGTCTTAGCTGATGTCAAAATGGGTGCATTAAACTACTGCCTAAACCATTTTTTCAACATCGAGAGTATCTTTGGGTACACATAAAGTAGTGGAGATTTTTATTCAATCATGCCTATTAAAGCATTGGCATTGAAAAACTCTCTCCCTCTGGGACCCGCATTTGTGACGGGTGCGCCGTTAGTCGATTATCGCCTGCGGCTCACTACATAACTTCTGTACAATTACCAAACTCGAGACATTCAACAACGACTCATGAAGTGGAATGGAGGACAAATGGGACAGAATTATGAATAGCGACGGGAGTATTGCATTGTAGATCCCTTTCAAGTAGTCTCAAGTCTTTATCGAAGGGCATACCTCGTTGGCATTGAGGTGTCACATTTTCTCAGCTTGAAACCTAAGGCTTGTCTTAGTGCCTCTTTTCATCTTACACTCATTTTCTTGAAGCACTTGCAAATTTTGAGTTCCTACTTTTTCTGTCTTTGCCTCACAAATGGTAAGGTCAGTTTGAAATTCCCAAGTCGCATTGAGAAGGTGAACTCTTTCCCTTCTTCACCTCATTCGAGTTGACACACGCACACCCACCTGCAGTACTTTGATGCGTGAGAGGACATTACTCCCTCCTTGTTGGTGCATTTAAGGAGGAAGAGGGTTATGGCTAGTCTGCATGGGCATTTAGCATATCAGGCAACATCTATCACGTGATTCACTTAGATACCGCGAATAAATGTCTCACTTTTTGCATGCACTATAGTTTGTGGATTTAAAACGTCGTACAACTATGGCTCTTAACGAAGAAGAAATGAAACGCCACTGAGGCAAAAAAATCGTCTTTCTACACATCCATCTTGTACAACGCTTGACGCCTTTTAAGTTGACTGCAAGCGCTGCTCCACTGATCGCAGGAACAACAGCCCTTAAGTTACTGTTTAGGGGGTAGGAAACAAAAATTTCCCTAATCTCAGTGGCTGAGTCCAGAGGAGCTCATAGACAACGTGATATTGAAGTTCTGCCCTAAGTGTTGCCGAACGTCTCAATTTTTGGCTGTGAAAAAAGGATGTGACACTCGATGTGAGAGAATTAAGTACTTCCATCCAGTCGCATTCCACTCAACTTGCACAAAAACTTGTAGACAAGGTACATCCATTCTGAATGCCTAGATGCTTAGAAAGTTTCGACGTGAAAGTAAAACCTTTGTGAAGCAGATTGAAAGAGCAAATTGCTGATTTAGGTTCAATGGGATGGCAAAATTTGGGGTAAGACGAGGAAACCTTATTGTCTGGATGCTTTGAGAGTGACTCGCATAAAAATGAATCAACTGGTCAAGTTAGGACGCCAGTCACTAATCCGGACGGCTAAAATTGTGATGACTCAGGACAGATTGATAAGGGACAATGAAGGTGGCAAGGTGGAGTGGGAGATGCATGGCCTGTCACGGGGAGGTGGAGGGGAGCTCTTAGAGGCGTTGGGTGGACAACGTCCACGCATTCAGTAGGCGCCTACCCTTCACACACTCCTCCACTTCCAAACTCATGGCGACACAAACTAGCAATATCATTGGCTTACTTACTGATCTACCTGAAGGCGAGAGCATAGTCCTCCTTCCAAGGACCCACGCCGAGGAAGCAGATCTAATTAACTTATCATCACCTCTTAACTCCGTAAGGTGGATTTTTGCATGCTGTTGACAATGGATGATGTTGCATTTTAGTGAATGAAATGATTGTCAGCTGGAAATATTGCCTAAGGAGGAAGGTCAGCCTGATTGATGGCTGACTGAGGCACCAAATGATGGAGATCAACTTCCAATCCCAGAGGGATGGAGGACGTGGGCACAACATGCATTAGGAGGTGGCGAATCCTGATATTCTTTGGGGGCAGATTTGGAGCGACTTTTGAAAGTGGAAGCTACACATGGGCAGCAATCAAAGCATCAGGTGGAAGCGCAAGTAGATCTGCTGTTGAAGCAGAGGGATTGCCTTTGCAAGGCGCATCATTCAAATGCTGCTTTTAGAGAGGACTTGGCTTAGTTGTGGGACGAGGTTAACCTTGATGCATGAAGTGGACGACATTGGGTCTCCTCAGGCTTGTTTAACGTACAATTGGTGAGAGCGACAGATGTCAAAAAGTGGGACAGAGAGTCAACGGATTCGAGCAAATTTGCGCTTTATTGTTTAAACAGAATGGCATTTCATATACTTCCCAAAAGACTTCTCATGTAACATCTTCCGCTTCTGAGAACTCCCTCTAACCAAAAATGGATCCTGAGACTCATTTTTAATCAGATTTTCGGTAAGACATTGCAAGAAAGAGGTTTCTTGCTAAAATACGGGAACAATGTCCTCTCCGAGAATATGCGATTGAGAATATTTCTGCTTGGATGGATATGACTTAAGCACTTTAATTAACTAGCCTAACAGACAATGGGTATTACCTCTTAGGTTCTTTTGCTTGAATATCAAATTATTTTAGATCAAGGGGATGGAGCAGCATGGTGATCTGAAGAGGGAAATGAGAGCTTCAATTCTGTGGAATCGCACCCTGGAGCTGTGATTTCAGCTACTCGCCTAAAGATTTGTAAGTCCTTCCAGAGATCTCTCAATCATGAAAAACATTCACCTTATGGTGATGAAATACTGCGTCGATTTCCAACCTAGCTCGCCTCTGACCTTCTTAAAAATGGCGCCTTCTGTAAACTACAGCAACAGCCAATCAGCTTCAAGTGTTGCAATCAGCTGACTAAACGGTTAAAGGAAATTGTGGGTTGTGGTTATTAATAATTTCCACTTCATGAAATATTGAAAATCGCTTTTAACATGGGATCTTGTGGGCTGATTGCGAGTAGCAAATAAGTTCGCCTCTCGAAATCCGAGATTAGAAGGAGGACTCCAAGGCTCACTTGCTTTAAAGCAGGGAGTTTTGCGAAATGATTAAGTTCTAAAGCAATCTAACTTTAAAGTACCTTTAGGGTTTGGTTATGGAGATGTGGGCAAAGGAAGTTATTAAAGGGGATCTTCGATTACACAGAAGCCGTCTTATTTTCGATACCTTGGCGGACTTTCTCCAATGCGAACAGTAAAGCACGGAATTTCAAAAAACTTCTGTTTCTTTGATGAGTGTCTAAGTGGTAAAAGTTTCCCCATTTTATACTTTCAATTTTCTTCCATTTCGCAGGTTAAAATTGAAAATTTTATGGCCTCTGAAAGGTGGCTTTTGGGATTAGCGTATTTTTATTACTCCGCGCTTGGTGAGCCACAGAAAATCGATACTAACGTTTACAACAAGCTGATCGATCGATGAGCAGCCAGTCCGCACGCCCCTGGGAGGAGGGCACATGTTGTAACGCATGTTTTTAACACATTAGCATACTATGGCAATCATGGAAGGCAAATATGCAAAGTGCAAACAAGAGATGCACCAACTCACCCAGTAAAAGGAGTTTGACCTCTTTTCGTTGATTCCGCTTGTCACGTTGCAGCTGTCTATCGATTTCTTTGTTCAGGCGCTGTTGCTCCATGTACTCCTGTGAGAAGCAGCACATGCAACATGAGAGTAGGTTGCCCATGGCGAATCTGGGGGGAATTTGGGATAAGGCGGCGATATTTATTAGTGTTTTCCCCCCGCAGTCATAGCAACGCATCACTTCGTTATCGGGTCTGCCGCCACCCTGTGGAAGTGTTTACTGAAAAGAGTTAATCTTTAGCGCGCTTTGCGCACGTACCGGTTACGCATCGACCAATCAAAGTGCTCGTATTATTGTGCATTGGAGAGTAATTTGCATTTGCACACAACTACTTTGGCTGATCTTTAATTCTCTTGCCCATCGATCTTAATTGCGTAATTAAGTTCTTGTTGGTTAGCTTTGTTAAAAAATGCAAAAATAAGATGGAAGTTAAATGTCTGGTCGCTGCCTCGGTGCATTGGGTGACATCAGTAGGTTTGTGCTTTTCTGGCGAATTGCATCGAGTGGT